TCCCTTCTGGGGTTTTCATATACTCACAAAGGTATCTCATCGCCAGTAGGATTTTTCCACACTTATGTTTACCCCATAATGAACCAGGAATGGCTATACCACAACGCGGTTAAGATATCCCATTTCCAATACATCCTACGACTGTCAGCAATGCCTGTGCAAAATATCAAAGCTCTCTATCGTGATTTTAGCACATTGCCCACATCCTTGCCCCGTTTAAAATTTGTGATGTTCGAATTACAATAGTGGCCTATAGAGCGACTAGAAAACTATAAACAACGTTTTGGGTCCATTTCATCCTTTAAATATCATCTGATGATCACCGGAATTTGTAGGTGTCGTCGTTGACCATAACCGGAACCTCATGTAAAATCCCATAGCCATCAGAGCTAAACTTCCGCTTTCTAGTGTGACTATCTTTGCATAACTCCCACAGTACTTACAATATAATTTGTATCAATTTAAAGGACAACCACTCCTCTTGGTTATACTATCAACTTCTCGGGTCTGTGTTCTTCAGATGTAAATATATACGCCATAGAATCGAAATCTTGAACTTTCTCACACAAAAGCCTGTTTCCATTTGACCCGCTAAATATTGACCGATATTCATCAAAACAGTCACACATATTCCACGTTCAGACCCTAGAACGAACAGTGGCCTGTATGACACACATGTCTAGATTGACTCAGCTGTAATATATATTTCTAGCGAAGATGATAACCAGACATATGAGTATCGATTTCTTGTTTCAGATTTGCAGATTTTCGGATTTTCAGCAAATTTACTAGGAGGATTGGACTTGATTGAGGTTTGGTTAAGATAATTGATTGTGCAAAATTTGGTTCAAATAGGATAGTCCGTTCGGATAATATTATATATTAAAATTAATTTTTAGCTAAATTATGATCATTTGTGGGGGAGGTATCGATTACTCCCTGCCAAAGTTTTCGTGCGCACCAGCCAGCCTGACTGAAAGGATTTGGTCCAAAGAAACATGGGGTCTAAAATCATTAGCCATATGGCTAATGATGGCATTAGCCACAGACTCGAGATTGAAGGAGTATATTTTACAAAAATATGCCTTATTCGATCTGGCTGAATACATATTTTTCATATTTTTCTTCGTGAAAAAATCATTACGCCATAATTCAAAACGTGGCCCTTAGCGACTGTGTCCTTCTGGGCTCTTACAGCCTGTTTTTGTAAAATTCAAAACGAAACAATTCGAACGAATTACTACCAAACCTTTATTTATGTAAAAAAATGTTTCTTGATTCAAAACAAAAATAAATGACATATTCTTCAAAACCAAGGAGTTTGGTCGTAAGTCACTCGAATTCGTTCCTTTAGAATTTTGCAAAAACAGGCTGTTAATATACTCGCCAAGGCCTTTACAACCATAAAATCTGAATCAAACTAATAACCGGAATTTCTTCTTAGATATTTTGGTTCAAAGACGAAAAAATTAAGTAAATTTAGTGGTGTCATATTCGCGGAAAGATGTCTCAGTGTTTTCTCTTTCAGCTCGTAACACCGGCCAAAAACCAACCTATAACATAGGGAAGATTCTCGCCAATTGAATTTATCCTAGTTCATACGATATATGTGTAGTTCCAGAATCACGTGTTAAAATTTAAGAAGTACTCTTGGTGTCGCTTAATGCTTGATAAACGACTATATCTTCAAGAGATGTTGAAATTTTCACTTAAAATTTCAATGAGACATTCTTGAGAAGTTGTAGACCATAAATAAATAAATTGACAGAGAATGGGGGTCCCCCTTAAGTTTTTTTTTTTGAAATTACCCGGTATTCGGTACTTAGACATCTCATAGTGTAGTATTGGGTAGCCACCATATAATGCTAGCTACCAAGTTTTGGAGTTTAGGCACGTGTTTCTACCAAAAGAACTGTAATTTCATATTTGTAATTTGGTTTAAAATTCCATAAAAAAAATTATAAATTATGGTCTACACACAATTTTTCCGTATTTTGGGAATTATCGGCAGTTCTCTTTGGTGCTAAATCTTCCTATCAAATAATACATTTTTTTTATTTTTTTAAATAAAAAATGTTTGCAAATTCTAAACCGAATTCAATTATGAAAATATCTTTAACCGTTCAAAAGTTAACGTCTTTTGGCCACTTAGAACCACTGAACGTCGTCACAGCCCCGAACCGTACCTACATTCATAATTTATATTAGATAGATTTTGTTATATTTTGACTAGCCGAATCGATGATCATATTTCGACTACAAAGGGTGAGTCCAATGGTGTTACAAGCTCTTGGTCCAAACACAAAATAATTCTGATTCCTCATTTTAAAAGTAAATATGTGGATATTCAAATTCATTTGTATTCAAATCGAATCTAATTATATCATGCACTTGAACATTCATATATTATTCTGGGAATATAAAATTTCTCGATTGTCGGAATTTATCGAAAACAAAGAAAAAGGAAAAAGACTTTGAATTTTTACTGAGGAACAAGAGCCGGTGTTGAACAAAATTTTAAATTTTTATGGAAGCAAAATATTGGTTCCTACAATAAGAACAAACAATTGTTCACGTTTTCCACGGTCTTATTTCTAAATAAAAAAAATTTGAATTTTTCTTTGGTAAATACTCTGTCCCGAGGTTCCCTTTTTCAGAAAAAAAAATAGTTCTATACTTTTCAATTTCCAGTCACTATAATTATTATCAAATTGTTTTAATTCTATATTTAATATCACCTTAGAATCTTATGAGGTATTGCAGACCCTAATTCGTTGAGTTTTTTTTAAAGAATCATACCAATATGTTTTTGCCCGAAATTACCGAGTCTAATACAAAGTAATATTTAATTCACTATTCTTCGTTTTCTAAAATCCCAGTTCTGATGATATACGATAATATTTACCTTTACTACCTTGATATTATTTACCTTTACTTCCTAATATTTACTAAAGTAAATCGAAATGTTTTTCGAAATCCCCTTTGTGGTTTCATATCTATATGATTTGCCAACTAATGTCATCTGTCAAGTTCTTTTACATAATCGATTATGTGTGTGTTGTTTTTATTTCTTACTTTCTTTCCTTGTCACACGATATTAGGACAGCTTTAATGTTGACCATTTGACCTAACCTGGTTTTTTGTGTTGTGTTGTGCGACAAGAGAAACACAATACGACATAGATGACCGAAGCGATTTAAGTAAATGTTAACCCACTTATTTATTGGCTTTCCTTGCTCTAGCACTTCCACCACTTCCTTTCGTTTGTGGACAACGGACGCATTGATGTGTGTGTGTGTCCCTTTTACCCTTGAATGTTTGATGGATTAAGTCACAAAACGAACAAAAAAAACAATGGACTATAAAATTTCATACGCATGCAAGGAGTGAGGACACACACAAACGGTGCACACAAACATACACACGCATAGCTAAAATTAGATAAAGAAACTAGTCTGTTGGTCGAAACTATCTGTGTATTTCCTTCCTTGCTTCTTTGGCTTTTTGGTTTTTTGTGTGTCCTTTAACTGGCCTTAGCAAGTAAAGACACAAATAAAAAAACCAACAAGAACAGAAAGTTAAAGCAAAGTAAACGAAAATAAATTTTATTATAAAAAATTGTGTCATTCCAGTCATAATTTACATTGCCGATAATAATGATGATGATGGTGCTGATGATGATTATGACGATAAGTCTATGCCGATAATAATGACGACAACAGCAACGATTGCAAATAGCAGCAGTTAAAGTTTCCTTTTCTTGTGTCTTGTGTATGGAAACACACACACACGTATAAGAAAATAACAAAAAATTCTCCCTGCAAGGAATCAACGAAATTCAGAAACACACACAAACAAACCAAAGCAAAGCTCAATGTCGAAGCAAAGCAGCGCCGAGTTAAAGAATGCCGTACAAATCAATTTTTAAAAATTGTTCGCGTTACAGTGAAAATTCATTAACCAAAAGGAGGTTAAGAAGTCAACGATAAACCAAACTACAAACAAACAAAAAAAAAAAATAAATAGAAGCACCTTTTTTCCAATCTCCTGGTTATACAACGGGAGAAGAAAGAAATCGGAAAACACGACAGAAAAAAAATAAACTCATCAAAACTTTAGTCCACACAATAAGCAGAAAAAAACAGAACCGAACAAAAGTCAAGAACACACATACCAGGAGCAGCAACAGCAGCAGCACCCAAGGAGAGTGCAGCCCAAAATATAACACACACATATAGATTTATGTCAGTGGATGTGTGTATGTTTTTTTTTTCTTTTTCTATACATAAAAAACAACAAAATTATTTTGAAATAAAAAAAAAATCCCATAAAAATTAAAGAAAATACACAACACACCCAACAACAACAAGAAAAAATAACGATTTAAAAAGAGATATTAAAAACGAAAAGCAAGAAAAAAAAAGAATTCAATTTCAAATAAAAACAAAAATAAGGAGAGCAGTCAGTCAGTAGTAATAACGCCTAGCAAAAAAACGAAAAAAAATAAATAAACGGAACTCATTCTCATAAAGCCAAATTGTTCCCAGACCTCTAACAACAACAAAATACAAAATCTACAACAACACACTTTGCAAAATTCCAAGGAGGAGAGTAACGGCCTGTATTGAGGAAAACACAATCAAAAAACAGAGTCGTCTTCGTTGTGGTCTCCTCCACCCACAAATGCCCCCAAGCAGTATTGCTGTTGATGAAATTGTACAACTACTACAACAACAGCAGCAGAAGCAGCAACAACAACAAATAAACAAGTCAATGAAAAATTGCCGCAAGCATAAAAGGCTAAAGTATTTCAATTCCAAACAATATCTTCATCACAAGCATCCCGAAGCAACAAAAACCAGAAGCAGAACCAGAACAACAACAACAGCACTACTAACAATAACAACAACACCCCCAACAACAACAATACCCACAATAGATAATAATAAAAAATAATAATTCATCATAAAGCATAAACGAAACAACATTAAACGAAGGCCATGCAACAAGCCGATTCTTCTCAACACCAACAGCAGCAACAACAACAGGCAAATGGTGGCATTGGCAGCTATTCAGATGCCACCAACAACCAGCAGCAACAGCAACAAACCTCCCTAGGTAAACGCACCACGGTAAGTGGTGGCCGTTTCGATTTCGAGGATGGTGGCACTTATTGTGGCGGCTGGGATGAGGGCAAAGCCCATGGGCATGGTGTCTGTACGGGGCCGAAACATCAAGGTGCCTATGCTGGCGCCTGGAATTATGGTTTTGAGGTTTCGGGTGCCTATCTGTGGCCAAGGTGAGTTTTGTTTTTTGACGCTTCTCTTTATTATTCATTTTTCACACAAAATAACAACCAACAACCCAACAACATTTTTATTTTCTCCGTCCAACCATCCAACAACACCATCAATTATTTGTGAAAAATTAAAAATTTCCCCCCATTTTAAATAGCGGCTCTCATTATGAGGGTCAATGGCAAAATGGTCGACGCCATGGTTTAGGTGTCGAACAGGTGGGCCGCACCATATATCGCGGCGAATGGTCCAAGGAGGGTCACAAGGGTCGTTATGGTGTCCGTGAAAGTACGGTGTCAACGGCACGTTACGAAGGCACCTGGAATCTGGGCTATCAAGATGGTTATGGCTGTGAAACGTATGCGGATGGAGGTAAGTTCGGTGTTACAAATTTTTTGTTATTTAAAAATTAGAATAATAAAGGGACATTATTATAATGTTAAAGGATTTTTTATAGAGCTTCGAATTTGTCTATAGTTTATAATTTCTAAAGATCTCATAATTTTCATAAAAAATCATTTCTGAAAAAAATCTAAGAATATTTTTTATTAAATTCACTAGACTTGTTTTTCTATAGAAAACAGGCCTGAACAATATTTTTAAAACATTACAACTAATTTTCTATAGAAAAAAATCAAACCTAAAGGTCTGTAGTCCCAGCTATTTTGTTAATAAAAAATATATGGTTCTGTTAATTTCTGGGATTTTTCTATATGTACAAAAATATGCTGTCGTGAGGTGTTACGCTCTTATGTAAAAAAAAGGAGGCAACGATTTCTAGAAAAGATACAACCCGTATATAGGCAGTTCTAAGAGCCAATGAACGTTAGGATCTGCTTTTTCTCTAGAGTCCTAAGGACCTGAGAAGTTCAGTAAATTGTATTGTATAGAAAAAACGAGTTTTAAATTTTTTTTAATGGAGGAAAGGACAGTCCTGAGATTAGAAAGTCGGAAAGGTCAGAATTTGTTTAATAATCCTGAGGGGTAGAGGATTTTTTAATGGTAAAAAGGGCTGTCCTGAGGGTCTCCAATTTTTTTTATAATTTTTCTATATTCGTTTGGGTCTGTTCATTTTAATCTATACAAAAATCAGCTCTAAGGGCTATTGATTTTTTTATAAAAACAAAATCGTTAGTTCCTGAGATTTTTTATAAAAAAATACAGTCTTCAGGTTCTGCATTTTTTTTTTCAATAAAATATACAGTCTTGAAGTTTCGGAAACTTTTATAAACAAAGTCCGCTCATAGAAAAAATAGTCCTAAGGTTCTGTGATTTTTTCTATAGAAAAAGACAGTCCTTATGTTTTGCTATTGGAAAAAGGCAATCCTGGGTCTTGGCATTTTTTTCTATAGAAAATGGCAGGGTTGTGGTTCTTCAAATTTTTTTCTATAGAAAATAGGCAGTCCCGTGTAGTTCTGAGATTTTAAAAAGACACTTTCAAGATTTGTGAATCCTTTCTATAGTTCTGAGATTCTGCGAATTATTTTCTAAGGAAGAAGAAGGCAGTCCTTAGGATTTGGGTATTTCTAGAGAAAAATGGCAGTTCTGCGATATTTTTCGTATAGAAAAAAGGCGGTTCTGAGGGTCTGCCTTTTTATAGCATGGATTCACAGTCCTGAGGTTCTGCGATTCTGTTTTTAATAGAAAAAATGCAATGTTTTTCTATAGAAAAAGTTCAGGTTTTTTCTATAGTACAAAGCAGTCCTACCTGAAGGCCTGCCATTTTTTAAGAGACAAAAATTATTAAGTGTTCCGAAAAAATCCTGTTCTGCTTAAAATTATTATTCCAGATTTTTTTCCTATAGAATAATTAGTCCTGAAGGCATGTGAATTCATCTCAATAGACAAACATTATTTCGAATATTTCATTTTTTTCTGTGGAAAAAATTATCTTGACGGACTGGGAATTGTTTTCTATCAACAAAAATATTCAATATCCTGATCATTTTCTAAAAAATATTGTGGATGTTCTACAGAAAAAAATTGGTCCAGCAATTTTTTAATTAAGAAAAATATCAATTAGGCCCTCTTAAATTTTTATCGTTATGGCCTAGAAAAGTTTTTCAATAAAAAAACAATAACTTCTAAAAAATAGTATGAAGTTCTGTGAAAAAATTTGTACAGGCTAGAAAAAAATCTGAAAGGAAAATAAATTATGATTGAAATTCTAAATTCAGTCCTTTTGAATTTATTTTTCTAAAATAAAAATTCTGAGAGTCTGTGCATTTTTTTGTTAAAAGAAAAATTAGTTCTCAAATTGTCCTTCCATAGACAAACATGTTTTTGGATGTTCTCTTTTTGTTTTCTGTAGAAAAAAATTTTACTGGAAGCCCCTTATTTTTTATTATAAATAATACAATAATTGCATTAAAAAAGTTTCGAGTCAATTAAAACAACTGATATTTAAAACCTATAAACTTTTATAAAGAAAAATAAAAAACAGCGAGTGGCTTGTTAAACAATGAGATAAGTCCATGGAAAGAAGTTCTAAAAAATAAGTTTCTAAGGCCTGATACGTTTTTCCATAAAAAGGAGAAAGATACAACAGTTTCTAATTTTTTACACAAAAAATATGTGACTCCATATGTTTTTTTTATTCTATTTAGAAAATTGTCCTAAAAACCTGCGATTCTAGTAAAAAAGATTATTTTTCCTATTAATTTTTTAAAAAAAAGTGATTTCTTCTGAAGAGTGGATTTTTATTTCCAAATTTTGATAAAATCTATATTTCAAATATTTGAACACGTCAAACTCATTTTTTTAAATTGTAGATTTTTTTCAAATTTCTAAATGTTGAACTTCCAGAACATAATATATTTTTCTACGGGATTTGTTTGCAATTTTCCTTTCAGTAGATTAGCACAGTTTTTCAAATGAAAACAGTCGAATTATGTCCTCGTTTTTTGTCATCATGCTGATGAAAAAAATTGTGTTCGACCCCAGTAAACTTAAAAACATTTTTCTATTCATTCTCTGTTTTTTTTTTACTTCGCCCTGTCTGTATTCGATTCGATATTATGTATTTGCATGTTTTCATAGTTAATCTGTTATTTTGATAGTTTGATAAAGAGAACTCAACATTTAGTGGCCGTTGTGTTTTGACTATATATTTTTGTGTAGCAGCAGTAGTAGTTGTTGTTGCACGACAATGGGTATGCATGAGATCATTTTTTTGGGTAGCTTCTGTATTTTCTTGGCGTTTTTTGGCTCATATTCAAAAGCATCAAGACGACATTGTTTTGTTGGCGGGGGTTTTCGGTGAGGCGGCTTTCAAACTCATAAACACACAAATATACAACCAAATATAAAATTCAAATTCATAGAGCAACAAATAAGTTATGCAGTGAAAAGGAGCAACAACAAAAATGTATAAAAACATCTGATTTAAAACCCTCTAAGCATTATTCCGATATGTGTATGTTTGTGTATTGTGAAAAAAATGTACAAGAACCAACAAAAATATATATTTAACAAACAAAAATATGTACCTAAATATTTGTTTTAGGTTATTGTTTTTTTTTTTCGTTTTTTTTTTTGGTACGTTCGTCTTCTCCTCTAGCTTAAATTTAATTATAAAATAAATATTTGAAATGTTGGCATACGGACGGACACACAAACATACACACATCCATGCATATGCTCATAAAACCGACAAAAACACACGCAATATGAACGAACACACAAACTGACGTCATTTTATTTCAATCACTGGCCATCATCATCATCGTCGTCAGCACCACCACCGAAAGAGCCTCATGTTGAAAATATGTTTGAATGTCTTTTTGATTTTTGGGCTACTCGTCTAATGCCACCATTGCCCGGGCCATTCACCCTCACCACTAGTCAGGCGGCCAAGGAAGGAAAAATTTCATAGAAAATAAAATATGTTTCGTTGTCTTCGTCTTATGCCTCTTCCTACTCCCTCCTCTGGTATTTAAAATAAGTCATAACAAGTGTCTGCTGCATTTGCTAATTTTGTAATTTTATGTCATTTATCGTTTTATTTTCCTTAGGGGACAAAATTGTATGAGGGAGGAACGGAGGAGGGAGGTTATGAATGAAGCTAGCCCGCTAGCTACAGTGAAAATTGTTCGAAATAAATATATCATTACCAGTTCATTTCCGTAATCTAATTACCGAGCCGTATGAGTGATATTTTCTCATAGTTAACTAATATTTTCAATATGTATACGCCACCATTGCCTCCACACTCTCTCTCTCTCTCTAACGTTCGCTAACTCTCACACCACATAGCCAGCCACACGCACGAACTTACACACATGTGTGTGTGTGTACACGACAAAGTTTACACAATCGTCAACACAAAAAAACTTTAACTGCTTTGGCGCAGCAATAATTAAATAAAAGTTAATTAGTTCATAGAAACACAATTTTGCCTTTGGCAGGTCAGAGCTGAGCACTGCAATGGGGTATTTTGTTGTAGTTGTTTTTATTGTTCTTACCGAAATGGGAATAACCCACCTGCTTCTGTCGTTTTTTGTTCTTTTTTGTGGTTGTTCTATAAACTCCCAAAGAAAAGTTTGTCCAAACCCTATTAACAACGTTTTTCCTCCAAGGCCATAATCCAAATTAATGCAGGAAAAAGAAAACCAACCCCCACCCCTCCGAAAAAATAAAGAAAACAGACAAAATGAAATGCGTTAGCGTTACTTCACACAGTCGTGTTATATTTTTCTATTTTGTAATTGTTAGAGTGGGTCGAATGTAGGTAAAATATTTTATTCTTTTATTTTGATATAAAAAATAAAACATTGGTGAAATAGTCTATATGGAATTTTTATTGAGTGTAATATTTAAGACCCTCCCTCCACTTAATAGCCATTTAAACCTTTTTATAATTCAATTACAATGAATTCCTATGTATAAATTTAGAAAAACAAAAAAGGGCAGTTTGTTTTTGTCAGATGTGAAATGGGCGAATTCGTGGAAAGTACGAAGAAACTTCATTGCTAGAAGAAATATTTTTGTTGTGAATATATTACAATTTTGAAAATACAATACTTAAATAGTCTTTAAAATCGTTAATTTATATTTATACCCTACACAACTATGTTATCGGTGTATTATAGCTTTGTGCAGCCCCAAGAGTTTGTAACGCCGCGAAATATTGGTCCTAGACCCACCTTTAAGTATACCGATCGACATATCTCGACTATCTGAGTCGATCTAGATATGTGTGTCCGTCCGCCCGTCCGTCCGTCTGTCCATTATAAATTGTAAACACAAACTTCACGAAATTTTGCATGTCGGATGGGTTCTGGCCAATGATGACCCCTATTGTTTTTTGTAAAGATCGGTTAATACTTTACCGAATACTTTATTTTTGTCTGATTTTCTGGTCGCCTTGAGGCCACAATTATGATCCAAATCTCGTGAAATTTTACATGGAGAAGGGGGGGTCGGGTCAAAGAATAAGCATGCCTGTTTTGATAATGATCGCTCAATATATAGCGGCTCAAATGGACCCTGACTTTTGTGTGAAAAATTACAAAATGTGTATTCTGCAGCGTATATACTTACCCACGAAGGACATAGACCCGAGAACTTGATAGTATATCTAAGAGGAGTGGTTGATCTTTAAATTGATACCAATTATATTGTCTTATGTACTCGGATGTGGGAGTTACACTAAAAATATTAAAAAAAAAAAAATTTTATAAAAAAATACCCTTACCACACAAAAGGGCGGAAATATAGCCCTGATCGCTTTGAAATTTTCCATGAGGATCCAGGTATGGTCAAGGATAACGCATTTAATGTTCGGTGATGAATTGGACCGAAAACATAATTGTTTGGTTTTTTCGAATCGATCTATAGGCCACAATTGCCGAACATCACAACACACACACGGTGAAGGGAATCTGTACTGAATATTTGTTGAACTCTTGTCGGCCAAGAGGGTGCAAAGGAAGGAAATTTTGCATAGGTTTGTCTTTTTTCAGTTTTGATCGTATTTTCCCACCGAATTAGCTGTAATTTAGTATTTTGAGTTCGTAATAGGTACGAAATCTCTCCATAAAAAGAATTTAGGTCCATTTTTTCAGATAGCCCCCATATAAGGGTTCCCCCAATTTTCGGTATTTTTGGGTTCTTGAACGCGTATTTAAACCGAATTCGCTGCAATTTGGTATTATGTAGTCGTATATGGTAACAAATCTCCCTACCAACCAGGGATGGTCCGTGTGTCGAATTTTTAGGTTTTCGACCGTCAAAAAGGTGTAAACGTCGAAAACGTCATATACCTGTATAAAATGTAATAAACGTCATTTATTTCAATATTTTCAGCATATAAAGTTATTTTCAAGAATATATATTATTTTTACATATATCTGACTATTCCTTGCTAGAACTGATAAAAATTTCTAAATTTTTTTGAGAAGAAAATTTTCAAATTTTTTATGGATTTGAGTAAAGCATGCGTAATTTCCAAATTGATTAAAGGAAATAGCTATTTTGTCAAAAATCTAATGGATTTGGGTAGGTTTCCGACGTTTCTGACGTATGTATTATACGTCGGAAATGTATGTAATTTACGTCACTGTTTCTGACAGGTCATCCCTGCTACCAACAATTATTTATATCCAACCGCATTTTGGGGTAGTACCCATATAACCGCCTTTTTATATTAAAATAGTTATATAATGTTATTCGCGCTTTGGGTTTATCCCATCTAGTCGCATTCCACCATATTTTTATCATTGTACCTTCGGGAATATCGAGTTAAAAAACTAGAACTGCTAGGTCGGAGAATGACATATAATATATCGGCCCCAGTTAGGCCTATCCCCCATATTGTGATACCTACCCATTTTCGGTATTTTTAATATTTATGATGCCAAAATCTTTGGTTAGAAATAGAGCTTTATCAGTCCTCAATTATGCATAGAACCTCAAATAATTACAACTCCAACTATACGGTAATTCCAGAACCATGTAATAGCCTCCAGAAATCTACAAATAGAAACAACAACAATTTTCATATTGAAACAGCAGTTTCCACCCTACCCTCGAAATAAAATCATGTGTACGTTGGTGATGGCCTCATATCGACAAAATCGGTGAACATTTTGTGGTTCTGTGATTTTGAATAAATCTCCATTAAAAATTGCTGAAATTTGTATTTGATATACATTATGGTTTACAGCAACAATTGTTGGTATAGGTATACTTGTTGGTATGTTCCCCATATTTAATTTCAAGTAACTATCAGTATATGTATGGAGGGTATCCAAAGGGCCGGCCAAACTTAACGCCTTTTTCACTTGTTTAATTATATATTTTTTAATTACAAAGTGTCATATCTACTTGGAGTTCTATGGGGCATAAAGAACATTTAAAACCGAATTGTTCATAATATTACTTAAAAAAATATATTTTGAAAAAATCCAAAATATTACTTTTTTAATATTTAAATCTCTGAAACTATTTTCAAAGGTTTAAATCTGTGTGAGGCAAAAATATATATTAGTTATACGGACTTTTTTCGATCTCATGTTTTATTATTGCCCATTCCTCTTTTTTAAGGTATCTTAAATCCCCGTATTCTTAAGACTCCAAACAAATTCTTACTATTTCTGTCAATGGTCTCCACCACAATCCTTCCTTTGTATTTTTTTTTATATTTTAACACAAGACTGTCCCCATCTATTATTCATAATTGTTGAAAAGAAGAAAAATATTTCACAATTTGTGAAGCGGTCCCCTCCCCCCTTTGCTTTGTCCAACTGTGGCAATGTTGGTGCAATTTTTTGCAACGTCAACATACTGAGGTTTTAGTTTTTTGTCATTCTATTCAGGTTATCCTTGTTAAACATATATACAAACACTCTTAATTGGCTTCATTGTTAATTCATATGTGAACGTGTGTGTGTATGAGAGAGTGCGTTAGGAAACTAACATCAAAATGTTGGGTCCTATTTTACTAGGACGACATGTTAGGCCAGTCAACACACCGCACAGAACTGCAAAAGAAAGAAAAGTTTATTTTTGCTGGATCGCCATAAAACAAACATAGTTTAATAATGTCCCTGTCGTTTTGCTTAGAATTTATGGCTATCACTCACAAGGTGGTGATATTTATCTCTTAGTGTGTAAATGTGTGTGTGTGTGAGTGCGTGTAAAAGCCTTTCTTTGATGTTCTGTGTTCCGTTTTTCAGGTAAATACCAAGGACAGTGGCAAGAGGGCAAACGACATGGCTATGGTATACGAACCTCGGCTCCCTTTGGTCTGGCCTCACACCATCGCCGCAAAGATGTACACGCCTCAATGGCCTCCTTGAGAAGTACCGACAATGCTGGAGCCAGCGCCACAAAGGCCAGTGGTCGTGGCGAAGAGGTGCGGGGTGGTTTTGTGTTGACCGCACGATCCGATAAAACGCCACAAAGACGAAATAGTTTAACGGATAAAACGAAAAAGGGATTCTTGTCGGTAAGTTGAGGCTTCATATCGGATAATCTGATGATGGTGGGAGAGATCTTTATCTTTTTGTTCTTCCAATTAACAGGGTCTTAAGATGAGAAAACAACGCAGTACCGGTGATTTGGCTACACGTGGCACTTTGGCCTCGGGCAGTATACGTTCGACAATGTCAACAGCCTCTTGGCTAAGTACAGGGTCAGAACAATCGAATTTAACTGCAAGGTAAGTTTAACAACCTGTCCTTATCTTACATGCTTTGCTTAATCATGATTTGTGATGTGTTTGTGTTTTAGATCCATCCACACGGAATCAAATGCCAGTTTTACCATGGAAGATGATCAGCTGGATCCGACCACGGTGGAAACCTATATGGGCGAATGGAAAAAAGATAGACGTTGCGGTTTTGGTGTGGCCGAACGCAGTGATGGTCTCAAATATGAGGGCGAGTGGTACAACAACATGAAACATGGCTATGGTGTGACCACCTTCCGTGATGGCACCTTCGAAGAGGGCAAATACAAGAACAACATCCTGATTACCAGTCAAAAGAAAAAGCATTTGTTTATAGCACGTTCAAGGAAATTCCGTGAACGTATTACCGCTTCGGTGGCCTCGGCCCAAAGGGCCTTGAAAATGGCCATGCAGCGTTCGGATATTGCGGTGTCGCGTACCGCCACGGCCAATGCAAAGGCCCAGAGTGCTGATGTTGCCGCGGAACAGGCCCGCATCGATTGTGACATGGCTGTACAGATGGCTCGTGAATTTGCTCCGGACTTCAAGCCCACGGTTTTGGAGCGTTTCGAAAAGCTACGCTACCGTGAACGTTACAAGTCGCCGGCGTATCAACCAGCTGCGGGATCCGGCGATCTTTTCGGTGGTCATTCGGCTGCTCAGCGGGCATTGTCGGCACAGAAGGCTCAACAGAATGCCGAATTTCCAGTACCCAGTTCAATGTATTCGCAACAGCTGCCCGTATCGCCGCAAACCGATTTGTCTTCGATGGTCAATCAGTCATCCCAAATGAGTGCCATTAACACCATCAATCAGATGTATCACCAGCAACAGAGCAATCCTCAAATGAATCCTGCATATCAATATCAGCCGCAACAGCCACCGGGAGGTGGTAGTACAATGGGCGGTAGCCGAATGAATCTGAATCAGAACTATGCATCGCAGAGTAATTTGAGCAGTAGTGGCAGTCCGGCCATGAAGCAGATGCAAATGGAGGCTACCAGTTTTCAGAATGCCGAGGCCACACATACATTTACCAATATGCAGCAGCAACAACAGCAGGCATATCAGCAGCAACAGCAGCAGGAGCAGCAAAGACAACAACAGCTGCAGCAGCAGCAACAACAGCAGCAATTATTGCAACAGCAACGACAACAGGAGGAACAACTGAAGCAGCAACAGTTACAACAACAACAATTGCGACAACAACAACTGCAACAACAGCAACAAGCCCAGGCCCAAGCGCAACAACTGCAACGAAATCAACTGAACCAATCACAAACGAATCTAGACTCGCCCATGTATAACCCTAGTCAAGCGCGACGACCCTCACAAATGCTCTACCACCAGCAACAGCAGCAGCTATTGCAACAACAACAGCTGCAGCAGCAACAACTACAACAACAGGACCAAATCGATAGCATGACCCGCACTGGAAAACCTCCTATGCTTGGCCAAACCAGTCAACAATCATCCATCGATCATTTCGATCACTACAAACGACCACCCAGCCGAGATTCATCCATTGATCGGTATGCTCGGGCCGCCAGTCGCCTCAGCGGTGGCATTGCATCGCGTCAAGCGTCTGTCGATCGTCAAGCCACGGCCACAAATATCGGTACAGATTCGAATTCAGTAACTGGCAGCGGTTCGGCTGCTGGTGCGGAACGACCACGTGCCGGTTCAGTATTTCGTGGTTCAACGCCGGCACCATCGGCTGGCAATACGCCAACGGGTAATGGTTCAGTGCCAACGGGAACGGGACGTTTATCGAGGGCCGGTACACCAAGCATAGGTGCAACAAGTAGTGGCGCCGGTGCCAGTGGTTTGGAGCCAACGTTTTCGAAACCGAATCAACCGTTTGAAGATATACTCCTGGTTAAGCGTACGCTGGGTCAGGATATCATTCCCTCGCCCTCACAGCCGAAACGTACGGAGAGTCTGTATATGCCCGCCAAACCGGCATCACCATTGGCAGCGGCCGGTGGTGGTAATGGCGGTAAGAAAATGAAGGTGAGTTGAAAATTATCTAACGATAAATTATCTAATTTACCTTATCCAAACGAAGCGGATAAGTTATCTATCTTCATTTATCAATTTACGTGAAAAATTTATCTGTGTTATCCCAATGACGTAGATAGCTTATCTACCTTATCCAAATAACTTCTATTAGTTGTCTTTGTTATCCAAATAGCGGTGATTAATTATCTACATTATCCAAAAATATAAATGTTATCCAAATGTCATAGATATGTTATCTACAGTACCCAAATAACATGAATGAATTATCTTTTCTCTCTGTTATCTACATTATGTAAATGACGTGGATAAGTTATCTGAAAGCTCGGATAACGTGTATTTATGTAAACAGCTTGCATAATTTATTAATCTGGACCATATAGACCGGATATATAAACTGACAAATATGTTATCAAAACTTTCAAACCACCCCTCGTATTAACTTTCTTCCAATGCATTATTTTTCTTCTCAATGGCAAAGAAAAGCCCCAAATTTCTATTCTATCTCTCCCGAAGAGAGAGTGGGAGAGAATCGAATTTCGAAAATCAATTGAGATCACAAAATTTGACGAGGTATCCTATAAATAGCCTCAGATACTTAATGAACGAACGAATGAACCGTTCACAAGTGTTTGTAGCTTTTTCTTCTTCTTCTTTGAAAGCTCCAAGAGCATCAACCCAATACCAATGCAAATGGTAGCTCTCCTAATGAGAGAGTAAAAAATTTGTTTTTCGAAACAACCACTTTGCTCTTTCGAACAAAGACGAATGTCACTTAATTTCCGATCCGATATTTTAAGTGGATCTCAATTATGAAGAAGGGAGAGAGCGAGAGCGTCAGATTATTAGGAATCACAAATAAATTGTCAACCATTGAGGAGGATATTTGATGTGTCGGATGTGATGGTGGCCGAATCAGTTTGTAAACATACGCGAATTGTAAAACATTACGCTGACAAATAGCTACGGCGAATTGCACGCGAATTTAGGCGTACGCACCAGCAAAACAAGTCAATCTCCAACGACCATCAATTTGTTACGTGTTGGCGTTTGGTGGGGGATTATCATCGTGTACCTTCTATTTTGTTCTTTTTGCTGTTGAACAAGAAAATTATTATTTGATTTTTTTTTTTCGTTTTCGGTTCTGTTGTTTCTTAGCCAAATATATTTTAAAAGCAAAAAGAAAATTAACATTTTCAAATCGCAGAGTTTATTTTCGTTTTGTTGGGTCGCCAGCGAATTATTTTTAACTAAAAAAAAAGACATTGTGTTGTTTTTCTTTTCTTCTGATTTTGCTTTGCTTTCCGATCACTCTGAAGAAGACGAAAAAGGACAAGCTCAGGAATTTAAATAATTTTGTCTAACAACAATAGCCGACATTTGGAAACAATTGCGTACCCACTCGAAAAAGACCTTAGTCACCCGCCGCCCACCACACTAAATCAAAACGCCAAGCGTTGACAAAAGTGATCGAGCATCGACCGACAAAATCTCTGTGTGCAAGGTCGTCGCTGTAAATGAAAATGGAAATCTAATGGAATTGTATTTATAATCAGTTTAAAGACAAGTGATAAATAAGAAAATAAAATAAGCGGAATAGACAAACAAAGTGAAGTGGTTTATAAAAATTGTAAAAACAAAGAAAATATCAATTTATACGTTATGCAATTTATGCAACAATTTTAAATTTTAAACAAAGTGAAATTTTGTTCCCAAATTATTAAATTTTGAAAACAATCAAAAACAAATAAAGATAAAATGGAGTGGTATCCCGATGAAGATGAAGAAGATTTGATGTTCTCACCTGCATTATTGGCTCGTCGTGCCTCAGAGAGCTGGATTGTTGAACCACCGGTTGAGGTTAATATTGACAATATTATTATATGTTGGAAAAAATATTCAGAAGGCATTGCACCAAAACCAGTTGAAATGATTTGAAAGCCAAATTGTAAACCGGAATATATTTTTTGAGAAAATATATTCCAAACTTTACTTAAAATGTGATTTTCTTAGCCGATTTAACATTAATTATTAGCAGTCATTACAGATGAATATTTGGAATTCATTAGGTTTATATTAACTGCGCAAAAGTCTGATATATATGGAAAATGGCCTAAAATCTACATTTACTTCGAAATGTCCTTAAGATTTTTTTGATGATCCTTAATAATTTATTCTTAAGAACTCCACAATTGTTCAGAATCCATTAAAATTTCTCAAACATATTCTTTAAATATCCATACAGCGTTTAAAGTCCTTCACTAAAATTCTTTGAATATCCTTAAAGATCTGATAATCAATTAAAAATATTCTCAAAAAATTCTGCATAATTTATTCTTAAAAAACTTCACGCTTATTTCTTGAGATTCCATTAAAATTTAATCTCTAACAAAACCAAAATGTTGACCCTTTGTGGGGGAGGTACCAGAAGGAGTGGATCAATGGATCCCATCTTCAGACTTGATCTAGGCTTGGTAAAGATAATAGGTTGTGCAAAATTTGGTTCAAATCGGACATTCCATTTCCCTGATATTGGATTCCTAAAAATTATTAAAAATGTTGACCCTTTGTGGGGGAGGTACCAGAAGGAGTAGACTAGATCAAACTTTATCTAGGTTTGGTAAAGGCAATGGGTTGTGCAAAGTTTGTTTCGAATCGGACATTCCATTAGACAGATATTGGATTTGTAAATATTGAAACTTTTGACCCTCTGTGGGGGAGGTACAGAAGGAGTGGGCCAATGGGTCCCATCTTCCTACTTGATCTAGGCTTGGTAAAGATAATAGGTTATACAAAGTTTCGTTAAAATCGGATAGTCCTTTTTTTATAAAAAAGTTATAAAATTAATTTTAAGCACAATTTTTACCATTTTGTGGGGGAAGTACCAGAAGGAGTGGACCGATATTCCCCATCTTCGAACTTAAACTAAGTTTGGCAGAAATATAAAGATGTGCAAAATTTGAATGAAATCGGCTGCTGAGTCTGAGTCTGAGAGTACATACAAATATCCTTGAAAATATAAAAATGTTCGACTGATAGTCCATTATTTTTTGGATATAATAGTGCCTCAAAAATATTCCTTAAAAATTGCACTACTACAAATGTAATATTTTGAAAAATTCTATCGAAAGGATCTGCTAGTCACTCTGACAGTATCATATTTAGATATTTGGTAGTCTTTATGGATCTGATAATCCAAAAAAAAATCATAACATATTCTTGGGGGTCTCAGAGTCCCAAAAAATATTCTTTAATATTCGACTGATAGTCTCTCCAAAATATTCCTTATACATATCATTATTACAAATCTGATATATATATATATATATATATAATATATAATGTGAAAAATTCAAAATAACGATCTGATAGAATCACTTTGATAGTCCCTCAAAAATATCGAAATCCGAGGGAAAATATTCTGGAATATCTATGGTACCTTAAAGAATTATCCATGATTCCGTAAGAATATTCTCAGAAAATACACTCGCATGGTCTAATAGTCACTTAAAAAATCTGCTCGGTACAAAAATCTATCAAATTATTGAAATATTTAAGTTTATGTATCAATATTTGTAAAAATCTATTTTTCAAAGCTAAGTTTAAAGATACGATTATCAAGAAGACAATGTTTCAAAATCCACCGTGGAGGATCTATTACTCCCGCACTTTAGATTGAAATTATCTCAATAAATATTAAAAAAATAATAATTTTATAAGTAATATTAAATAATTTCCGATTTCGATATTTTTGTAGTGATTCTATTATAGGTTTAAGACCGAATTTTCCAGAATATATATTATATCAGATTTGTAATAGTGGGATTTTTAAGTAATATTTTTGTGGGACTATTACATCCAAAGACTTGACTCGAAGACTTGGCGAAATCCACTAGATTTTCCAAGGGATCCAATGGCCAAATAATGATGCTGCAAACTGCTATCCGTTTTTCCAAAATAACTCCTAATTTTTAAATCATATACCCTGGGATGTGTACAGGTTTCTGATGGAACTATCTGAAAATAAATAATAAAGTTAATAAAATTCAACTCATTTATAATTAAATTCATTTATCACTTACCTGTGTGTTTATTATTTTGCAATCCAATTCATTATTGTTATTCTTTTTTTATAATTTCAGAGTGTTCCGATTAATGTTACATTGCAACGTAAAAAATCATTGCCCGATTTCCAAGAACTGCCACGTGCCACAGAGGCTATGAGCCGCGAAGAGGTATCTGCTTTGGGCTCAGCAAGACGCGAAGCGGTTAGACGACAAATCGAAATGAATGAAAAGCTCAAAGCGAATCCATTATTGTATCTCGTCAGTCCACAAGTTAAAGTAAGTAGTAACATTAAAAAATATCATAATTATATTTTATAAAAAAATATGCAAAAAATTATTTAGAATATATATTATATTTGGTTCTATAAAATATTTCGAGTAGTAATTCTATAAGTTTTTTTTAAATATCTGGATTAAAGTGAAATAGTCTTTAGATCCTTTTATATTTACTAGGCCCTTTCCAAATAGGTGATTTTTTTATATATATTAGTGAAAACCAAGATTTTAATTTAATTTTAAAAATTATTTTTTTGTTGTCTTTTTTTAGGATTGGTTCTCACGACAACAGTTGGTGCTCTTGGTGCTTTTTGTAAATATCATATTGGCCATAATCTTTTTCAAGATGCTGACATAGCGAACACTTTCGCCACCTCTTCATCAATTATTGTTGGACGACAGACAGAATCAGCAGCAGCAGTTCCCGGAAATACCAAAGCAAGAACATGACGACGAACAACAAGAGATTTTCAATACAACTTTGTTTCAATTAGACTCAGTTTTTCTTAGCCAGAGAGCAGCAAAAGCACAATCAAACTGTTAAAGTTATAAACAAACTTCATTTTTAGGAAGGAAGAAATAAAAACAACTAAGTTTTATGGCTGGAGCAAAACAATTTGATGTTTCCGGCACACTCTTCTGTCTCTCTCTCTATCTTTATATAAAAACAATTTAATAATAATAATTTTAAATCATTTGAATTTAAACAAATGTCTTATTTAATAATTTATTTTTCTAAATACATAATGATTATTATATATATTAAAAATAATATATACTTTATATTTATATATATATGAAAAACAAAAACTAAAAATATATATTTATATAATTTATTTAGCATTTGCAGTAAAAAAACAAGATAAAAAATAAAAAAATTGAAAAACAAAAATCAATGTAAAGAATCGTACGAGAAGAAGAAGAAGCAAAACCAAACACACACATTTACTTCAAACAAAATATTTAGACTGCAGAAGAAAAAAAACAATTTTTTGTCAAAAACCCCAAAAACCTTATAAGAATTATTAATTTTTAATTGTTGTAATCAAGCGAAACAATATATTAGATTTTTTTTGATGATAAAAACCAAAATAATAATACATAATAACAATATGTACATTGTATATATTTTTTTATTTATTTTTAAACAAAAGCAAACAAAGAAAGAGGGTACCTCTTTCTGAAACCAAAGAAAAAAAAACATACACTATCAATTATCAAAAGTGGTAAACAAAAAATTGATGATTGTTCGAATTTATTTTCTATTGTTTTTGTTTTGTTGATCAAGCATTTCATTTTCAGAATGCTGTAAAATCAAACTTCCCCGCCCTTTCCCTCCAAGATGAAACAAATAAACAAACAAACCAAAAAAAGAGAGAATATAAATAAATTTAGTATAGCAAATATAATCTTAAATAGAAAAAATAAAACAACTACAACAACAAATATGCTGAGTATCTTAAAAAATATATATGTAATAGAAAAAAGAAAAACAAAAACAACTCTTTAAAACAACAAACGAATTTTGTACACTTTTTAAAAGCTCTACTAAATTATATTAGCATGAATGAATGAATAATAATTACAATTCATAATTTATTTTCTTAAATCAAAATTAATTTTTTGGAGAGATTGTGTCCCTTTCCAAATGGCGAAATGAATAATTTTTTATAGTGATTTCCCTATTTTGAGTTGATCTTAATGAATAAAGGAGATTAAAAAAAATAAATTTCGATGACTAATACAAATTGAAATAGATTATTTCCAAGACATTGTTTATTTGTGACACAATCAACGTTTAGGATATAGAAAGGAGCAGAAAATAACTTAAATAAATTTTTCTGTTGGAATCCAAATTTTAAAAATGGGTCCAAAATTTGAGTAGTTGCTAAAAGGTATATTTCTTTTATTTTCCAATTTCATGTTGCAGGATTTAAATAGATGGCCCTTGGCCACTTTTTTGGATTCTTAAAAAAATCTATTTTTTTAATATACAGAATTATTAATTATATTTTTCAACAAATAAACCATATTTATTAGAACTTTGTTTATTTTTTTATAATTGGTTTGATGCTATTATGAATCGAAATATATAATTTCATTCTTCGTTTTATTATTTTTAAATTAGAATCATATTTATTTACAAATTTTCATAACATTTGTTAAGCTATTTTTTTAACAAAATGTTTAATATTTATTAAAACGAAAATATGTATCCGAAATTGACTTCAACAAGAGTATTTCTTTCATATTTTAAAAAGTTGAGGTACAAAAGTCCGGTAAAAATTTAGTATTAAATTAGTTATTGGAGCAGCTTGTACTGCTGTGTATTTCTTCTTAATCTCCGGGTAATCTACGAGGATGGTATTCACACGATATTCTCAAATTGCTTCCTCAATTGCATCCGTGTGAATACGATTCAATCCTGCTTGATAGGCCTTTTGATCTAGAGGCTCCTTTTTGTACCTATATACATCTCTCTCTCTAGATTTTGGAGATCCTTCCTGACATGCCTAGGTGGTGGGTGTTTATCCATTAGGTAACGGTTTGGATGGCTACTCCTATAACACCCAAGTAGGTTTTGCATCGACAATATCTTGTAGTGTTGACGCACAGAAGGATCTTCCTCACGTAAGTGGTCTGTTTGTTGTGTATGTCGTTAACAAGGTTTCTTTGACCGGATTGACCCGGAGGAATCAACTTCCGACCAAGGGCTGTGTCAACCCAGCAAGTACATGTTCGAATAGTCTATTCCCCACTCTATTCCCGTGCCACAAGAATTTTACTATTCTTTTTCGATTTCGAATAAATTCTGTTATAACCGAACACTAGATTTTTGTTGCTCCATTCGCTAAAGGTTTAATTCTAATTTTTAATGTTAAGAAGATAATTATAAAGATATATCAAATACCTATTTTGGAAAAGAAATCGACATGGGGCATTTGTGGGCTTAGGAATATTTTTAAATGCGATAAAAACTGCAATCAATAAAATAAAATTAAGAGTGGACTGATTCCACGTAGACATCATAGTTTTGTATTTAAATGTTAACCCTTTTTCCAATTAAATTAATGGTGAAAGGTATCAAACAGTTTATTGAAGAGCTACGTTATTGGAATTTTTTTCCAATTAAAATAATGGTGAAAGGTATCAAACAGTTTATAATGTTGGGTCCAATGAAAAACACATCTATAATGCGTGGTTTGGCCTGTAATTAATATAAATTAGAGTCCATGACAAAAATTACTCTTCTTTATTTCCTCATTTTAAAATCTGACCAGGCACATTTGGCAGATGCCTATATTTGTTTAATTGGTTCAGTATTCCTCTCCCTGGTTTATTTCGTTTTAAAACCTGCAACAAAAATATGGATTAATTTAAGTTCAAAATTATTTGTATATATTAAATACATACCTTGTCTTGGGGAGATAATTTTTATTTTCATCTTTTTCTAGAGATGATTTGTTGTTTTTTTTTTTAATTATTATAGGAGGTATACCAAACACGAACCATTATACAATTTCTTTCGTCCATGGTTATGTGCCCGATCAAGCATATTGACAAAATTTTTAATAAAATTGAAAGAAACAAGTTTATTACTTTTTTTTTGCTATTTTTTTCTTGCCAAAACCTATTACGAAAAATCTTACAATTATAAAGCAAGGTATAAAAGGAATAATACAAAGCTAGTAACCTGCAGACTTGAAGTTTGGTCTGGAATAGCTGAAAATTATTCATTTTTTTTCATTATAAAATAAACACAATTATATAGTTCCTTTTCATGTTATTACAACAAAATTAAAACATGAGTGGTTGACTTACTGCTTTAGGTAGAAACCCTTTAAAATAGTTTGTACGTACGTCTATGGGCAATCTAAACCATTTTCACGAAATCTCTTCTGCGGATAGATCACAGATTGTAATGTGGAAATTTGTGAAATAGCAGATCTATGTGACATTTTTCTAATGGAAATAATTTTTTAAAATAAATATGTTTCCCTTTTATGGCAAGTCCATTGTATAACATTTCTACAACTATTTTTTAAACGAAATTACAAATATTTAATGAACAAATAAAAAAAAAATAAATGCATCGTTTTGTTTTCGAGTCACTTAGTTTTAATTAATATCTTTTTATATATATATTTCATTGGAGGAGAAGAAAATCATGTTTCATACTCGACACTCTATTACATACATAGAAACACAAAAAACATACACATATACATAATATTATTCATATATGGAATTACACATAAATATTATTTATATATTGAATTATGTTTATTTAAATTATTTTGGTTTCGTTGGTTTTATTTTTAATTGCTAAGTTATATAAATGTGTTTATTTGTTTTTGTTCTTTATTTTATAAATTATAAATAAAAATAAAATATAATTTATTAAATAAAATAAAATTGAAATATAAATGAAAAATTATAAAGAAAGAGGATTTCGAAATTTATATAATAATTATTCTAACTCGAAATTTTGAACGGTACGCATTAGAAGTTTTAAATCGTATGGATTCTAAACGACATGGGGAATCTATGGAGATGCGGTATTCAAGGGTGATATAAGGGGTTTCGATAACCCCAATCTAGGTGGTTTCAATACCCCTAAATTAAACTATTACTCATTTTGGTTCATAATTGAAAAGTTTAATTCATCTGTGGACAGATTTGAAAAACTGCCACATTGGATTTTATTTACTTATTTATATATATATATATACAGTGGTGGTCACAGAATTAAAACATTTACTGTGGTAAACATTTTCTGATCAGCCCTCGATTCGTTTGAAGTATTTTTGAAAATTTTTTAATTCAGAACACTTCGATATACTGTACTTAAGAGATTTAGTGTGAAAATGGAAAATTATTGCATGTAATTTTTCCATAAATAACGGTTTTTATGAAAATACATCGACTTTGAAGTGGCCATATAATTAAAACATTGTGTGATTTTTTACTTTACTGCATTTTTTGAAAATATTTTTAAAAAAGCTCTTTAATTTAGTTAAATTATGTAAACTAAGCACCGATAAAATCATTTACTGATAAAAATTTTTGAAAAAATCTGTAAAATCTATCTAAATGGCCAAAAATTTGTAAAGTACACCTTACATTCAGAAAATAACCCTTATTATAGAAAATAAAGGTCCGAATGCACCAGACATTGCTAGAATTAGTAGAAAACAATAAATAATTCTCAAAATAAATAAATATTTGAAATAAAAACTGAAAAAATGGGAATTAACCTAAAAGAACGACTCAATTCAGATAGCCTTTATTGAAGAAGGCCGGCATATTTTTGCAGTATGTGAGGAAATACCGATTGATATTGGCATTTATTATATCAAATCGATTGTTCGAGTAGTACAGAATATATTTTATCAAAAAATATATCAGTCACAACAAAAAGAACAGAGATCAACACCTATGTTGAC